AATAAGAAGACTTTACCAATGGAGTGTGAATAATTAGGTAAATGATCACAGCAATAAGAAGACTTTACCAATGGTAGTGTGAATAATTAGGTAAATAATTACAGCAATAAGAAGACTTTACCAATGGAGTGTGAATAATTAGGTAATGATCACAGCAATAAGAAGACTTTACCAATGGTAGTGTGAATAATTAGGTAAATGATCACAGCAATAAGAAGACTTTACCAATGGTAGTGTGAATAATTAGGTAAATGATCACAGCAATAAGAAGACTATCAATGGTAGTGTGAACAATTAGGTAAATGATCACAGCAATAAGAAGACTTTATCAATGGAGTGTGAATAATTAGGTAAAGGTGACAATGAAACAGAACTAATAGACACTAATGTTGCTAAACTAATGATGTCATGATGTTACATATGTGGAGCTATCGTACAGTGAGTTTGTTTTTGAATTTTGCACAAAGCTACTTGAAGGTTATCTGCCCTAGCCATCTCTAATTCTGAAGTGATAGACTGGATGGAAGGCCATCCATCAACAACTCTTTGGCTACTGAAGGGTAGTGGGATTGACCATCACATTATAAGGACCCATCTGCTCAAAAGTCAAACGTGTGAAGATAGGATTCAAACGTGTGACTCTCAGAATGTGAGTGAAGCACCAGGCCATACCAAGCCCCTAATTAGTGAGAGGCAAAACCAACTCAAGGTCACAACTAATGATAAGCTACCATGCTAAATTTGTTCATTATTTACTTAACATTATTATATATTTTCAGTCTTGGTCCTAGCCTACCGGCTAGTTTCACGTAAACAGAGCTCGATTCCAGTAGTATGGAATGGGAGTCAAGCTGACTCGAGTTAGTTGATATTAACCATACCTTTGACCGTTAGCCTTCACAACACTTTCATTGTCTTTCCTTAGAGGCTTACCTCCACTTACAAGTTGTGGATTAGTTTTTGGCATGAGTTTCAAAATTTCACTGCTTGGTTATTTCTTTTCATCCCCATCCCCCAGTACACATACAGCCTGCATTTTCATGCATCTTGTAATGAAACAACGTTGAAAATATTAAGTAGAACTGTTTGTTTATTAAAAATATTTCTAGTTGCATGACTGAAAATATTCTTAGCAGAACCCCTGTGCTAGGAGAAACAAAAGATAAAACTGTATTGTTAGTTACCACCAGGTAAAACTGAGTTTTTTCTCTCTCTCGTCATATTTGAACCTTTGACACTTTCATTTCTTCCATGAAAATTCCTTGCCTGCTAAACATTTCAACCTTAAAATTGAAACATTTTCTGCATACTAGTATTAGCAAATATAACGGGTAACATGCATTTCCCAATAATACTTTCTACATCATTTATCACAGTTAACCTCATACTCATCGATTCTTGATGTCAAAATTAAATCTTTTGTCTCCATGTCCTCATTGTTGGTTGTCGTACTTTTTGGGGAAAACAAACCTCCCTTATTGCTCATAGATCTGACATACTTCCCAGATAAATGTAGTGAGTAGAGGGTTGCATGCTTTGTGGAGTTCTCACCAGTCAAATATATTAAGAGAGTAATTATCTTGAAACATTGAATGATGCTTTTCTTCAGAAAATTCATTCATTGGCTGGAAAACCCTTTCAATCACACAATCGTCCTAACTGTTAATCAAGTGGAAATCGTGCAGTTTAGTGTATACATCTTAATGTGCATCACTTGATAGCTTGGGAAGAAAGGAATGACATTTATTTTCAGATGCTCAATCTAATGATCGTCCTAGTTTTAATGATCAAATAGTAGTTGGGAAGTGTATTCCATACATTTTGTCTTCATTATTAGCCTATAGCTCAGAAAGCAAGGAATGCTACTTTCTTTCAGTCATGAACTAATGACTGCTGTGACTTAGAAAATTGAGTAGTAACTCTACAATGTAGTACATACATTCTGATTCCAGTACTGCTCGAAAGTAAGGAGTCACTACACCTTTTTTGGTCAGCATTCTTCCAACTACCTAACCATGATGCATGGTTATCGTCTGTCTCAATTGCTAAAAAACAGCTCTAACTGGCAGAGGTTGTCCACCAGTGGCATGTTTAGCCATTCTTAATGCATGGTTACCTTCTGTCTCAATTGCTAGTAAACAGCTCTTAATTGGCAGAGGTCATCCACCAGCAGGATGTCAGCCTTTCTTGGCTTATCATCTGTTGTTTGGATCAGTGTTGTAGGTGTGTTGTTCTTGCTTCTTTG